AAAAATCTACCGTGTTTGTTAATAAATAAGAAAAAAGAGAGAACATGTTTAAAAGATTAGATTGCTTGTAAATACATTTTTTGATGAAACACTGGAGAGATGACTTTAAAAAGAAAATTATTTAAAATCATTAATGCTATCGTAATTTAAGAATCTAAGGGATGATTATTCGTAAAAACAAAAAGTGAGAAATAAAATTTTTTAAAACTAAAACATATACCAACTTAGCCTTCATTAAAAAAAAAACCTTAGTCTTATATCATATAAGTTTATCATCAATCAGTTTTAACGTTCACCAATAATCATACATCCCCAAATTGTTGTACTAAACAAATTCACAACAATGAGAGATTGAATTGAAAATTGTTAAAATATAATAGACTAAATTAAAAAATTTTAGAACAATAAGAACTAAATTGAAAAAACTCTCAAAATATAGATAATACAACATATATTTAACTTTAAAAAAATTACGGAAATAAAAAACAAAACTCATATTTCAATGTCAAAATGAACATAGCTTAGCGGTAATTGACATATATAAAATATTTGAATGTCGAAGTAACAACTTTATGTTTCTTGTATAAACAAAAATAATGGTGGTTCTATTTTCAAGTCAATCTAATTGACAATTCATGACATCTTTTAAAAAAGAAAAAAAAAAGATATTACTTTCTTTGTATCCATATCAAGTGAATCTTAACCATTGATCTTGCCAATACTAGATGCTTTACCGGTAAAACTATATATAATCAAATTAGTAATAAAAAGATGCGTTTTTTTTTTTTTTTTTGGTAACATGGGATTTTTTTTGCATGGATGAAAGAAAAATAAAATAAAATAAAATGCATGAATTTATTTTGAAGCTTTAGTTTTAAATCACAAACATGGGAATAAAAATTATTCGTTTTGTGCGTCTAATGCATATGGTCGAAACTCCTTCCGATCCTGCAATAATCAACGACCCAGATTCCTTCCACAACCATTATTGGCATTTTTTCTTTTTCTTTTCAAATTAATTAAATAATAATGTCCACAATCATCCTCACACCCAAAAACCTTCTTTTAAACGCTACTCTACTCTCTTATCTTCACCCAAAAATAAATAAATAAAGGAAAAAAAAAAACATTTTTATAATTATTGATCGTTGAAAAAAGCCCAAAAAAAAAGAGAAGTTTAAAAGTTAAAACATACATTATACATGTAACTTTTACGAGGGAGAGAGTTTGGGAGAAAATTTTACTTTCCCATCGTGACTCTTTTGTCTCATTGATCTTGATCGAATTTTATTTTTTTCACCCGACGATGCTCGTTTGAGCTTTTGGACTTGATACCATATTGATATTCCTAGGTTATTTGAGTAATAGTTCATATCTATTATAAATATCTCATGTTATCATCAGAGTTCAAACCTGGAGATATCTACTTTAATGACCCATGCTCTCATTCAATACTACATCTAACAAAATTTAAACAAACAATCAAAACATCATTCAATAACTTATCGACAACACAATATTCACCGAGATATTTGCACCGCAAAGCCATGGAGACTCCGCTCGCCATATTCTATAGCTGAAAAAAGAAAAAGAAAAAGAAAAAGAAAAAGAAAAAGGAAACCCTAGATGTATCAGATGATTCCCTATTTGGCTGGTGAGAATTGTATGGCACAGCAAAAGTGGTTATCAAAAGGAATATGATGTGATATACATAGCCAAGCCCAAGAGGGGGAAAACACAATATATAATAACAATTTGGACCATTTTGGCTGCATATGCTGGTTTCAAAGCCTAATCTTTCTTTCATTCAGTCTCCCCAAGCCTATGAAAAAATAAAGTACAAATTAAAGCGATCAGTCAAAATTACAACTTTTTGACACCAACTCTCAGCTGGGCTTCTTAATCCCCAATTTGAGATGCCATTTTCTAGATACTATCTTTTCTGCTCCATTCTTTTTGGCTCTCTCAGAATCTTGTAAACACACCCTCCAATTCCTCCACACCCCCCTCTAAAACTCAAGCCCCCCACTGCACACTTTGAGCAGAGCAAAAGGAAAAAAAAACAATGAAGCTTCTGCTTTTGTTCTCTCTGCTCCTCATGCCCGTGTTTCTGCCCGCGAGCTCTAATTTTGCGGTCGACGGTAGAGCGCTACGGGTCGACACGGTGGATGGCTCCGATGGTGGTGGCGGTGGAAGGGACGACATGTCGGATCGGCGGGAGTTATTGGATGATCGGGTTTTCACGTTGGCGTCGGGGCCCAGCAGGAAGGGAGATGGGCATAAGTGAAGGATGGGAAAAGGGTCGACTTGTCGGATTATGTTTTGTTGTTGTTTGTATTCATTTGGTTTCGGTTTGGCCTCTCATATTCTAATCTGTAAGGAAGAGTACGCTTTTGGATTGTACAAAAAGAATTCTTTTCGCAGATTATAATTTACTGTCGTGATATTGTTATATATAATTTTCTTGGGTTGTGTTTGTGATCCAAAACTTAGTCAGTGCTGACTGATTAAACGTTCATTCCTTGACTACCATTAAAGTTTTTGACACTTAAAGGAGAGAAATGTAAAAAGAGATACTTTTTCTGTTTTTTTGACAAAGAAAAAAATGGTCAAATTTTCAACCCTCACCGTCTAAATATTTTCAGTGACAGCATTTGAATTTGAGCGTATTGCTCTGTTTTCCCCCTCTTTAGTTAGGGTAGGTTTCTCTTTTTTTCCTCAATTTAAAGAATTTCAAGGACTTTTTTTTTTAAATATTGTTAAAATCCAAACTAATCTTCAAAATAATGCTTCCTTGGAACTATTTCGAAAAACAATATTTCAAGAAAAGATAATATCTTGGATAAGCTATTTTATAAAACTTATTTTCATAAATAGTCCAATATTTACAAATTTTACGACCTTAAATTTCTGGATTTAAATTTTTTTTTAAATGTTAAATTTACATTATTTACATTATTTATATTTATTATAATTTGTCTTTTATTTAAATGTAAAAGATTAATATTACAAATTTGTTTTTGTAAACATTAAATTATTCTGCGACCTAAATCAATCATTCTCATAATTTGCTAATTTACTCCTTAATATATTATACTAAAGAATGAAATTTATTACAAATATTTAAAAGTATAACATAAATATTAATATAGCCATTATAACATACACTTATATAAAAGTATGTATCTATGTATCTATGTATGTATGTATATCCGACTACCTTTTCAGTTATATAGAAATATAAACTATATTTGGCTATAAACTTAAGCAATATACACTTAACAATGGTGATATAAACTATAATCATTATAACATACACTTATATCAAGATATAACTTATATCTGGTCATAAAGTATATACGACTATATTCCTCTACAATTAATAAACAAAGCAAATAACCTACAAACCTTCCGGTCGGCGACTAGACAATTGCTGGGATAAACAGAAGGCTGGAATGATCGATGGGCGGCTGACGACAAAAAAGAAACCTCGGGATAAACGAAAGGAAACAATGGATGGACGGGCGGCTGGAGAAGAAGAAGAAGCTAGACGGATTGCTCCGACGACGAAGAAGAACAGAGATGGCGGCCGGAGACGAATGAATGGACGGAAATATAACGATAGAAGAAGAAGAAAAGTAGGAGGAATGAAATTTTCGAATTTTTTCAATAATTTAGGATTTTGGGGATTTGATATTTTCACTATTGGAAAATCTAATTAGGCAAAATTTAAGGGATTTAAAATGTAATTTACAACTAGCCAATTTTGGATTTTTAAAATTAAATTAATATTGAGGTGAGATAGGATATATTAGTAAATTGGGTGATGGATACCATCCTAAATGAGGTTGTTTTTGTGTAAATTTTATACAAGTCAATCCTTTTATCTAATTATAGTCTCTAAATAACCTATCAATGTACTAATCCCTTAAAAAAATCTTCAGCCACTAAGTTGTCTCTAGAAGACACGATCAACATATACATGGTCTAGCTACTCATGTATGTCACCATATTATTTGTCTATATAATCATGTCATCGATACACGATGGGCCACATCGTCAAAATTTCACGGAGATTGGAACCTTCTAATATTTTTGAGGTGATAAAATTTCCTAATGCCACTCATATCTATTAATTAATATTTTATTATAAAGTGTGAACTAATAAAATGTGAGACATTAACCATTATGGGTGGTTCCAAAGAGACTGAGTTAATTAAGAGGGAATGAGTTCAAACTCATGATGGCCACCTAACGTTCAATCAACCTCCGAACCAAAGTTTGTTTTTCATAGATTTGTTTTATTTTTTTTTTATTTTGGTAGCGACTCGAAACCCCTTCTCTCATGATAGACCCTTTAAGAGATGACGTTGTCTGGTCGATGATGTTGCAACAAGTTGGTCAAATCACAACTATTTTGGATGGTGCTTAGAATTTCTGTCTGAATTTGAGATGTTGAAAACCATGACACATATGTGGTGAGCTGGAGCTAGTTGACTTCTTTATCAGTTGGGTTAGTTAGCTACTTAATTGGCCGCTTGAGTGTGATTAAGGGCAGTAGAGAATTATTTTGTGAGGCTCACATATATACTATGTAAACTCTCTATATTAGTGATAACAGTAAGATTCCCACCAAAGTGGATGTAGGCATCTCTGTTGGCCGAACCACTCAAAATATCTGGTGTGTAATTTCTACTTCATCACATCTTCAATTTCTTCGTAGATCTAATTTTTGCTTGTAATCTGTAATTGGTGTTTTGATCGTTTTCATGCAAGCTTGAGTACAATATAGGATTGGTGTACTTATTCCGATTCAAAACCTCGACACGAGAAAATCCGCTACTAGTATTCTACATCTTTTCGGGAGATCATTCTTTAGTTTCATAGAAAGTAAAGAAACAAAAAGCACCTTTATCCGTATCATTAACAAAGGCCGAGTAACCAAGCTAGTTTAGTTATCACAACTACTTTGTGATATACAGATTTCATTTTCTCCGCTATTTAATTATGCACGTATACAACAGTCGAACTATATTCACATTGCATCCAATCCTACGTTCCAAGCAACACACAAAACACATTATTGTCATCAAGTTCATTACAAAGTTTTGTAAAGCTCATACCCCTTTGTTCATAGTAACAACTTACCAATTCTGTTTTCCACAATTGAAGACATTAGTGTAAAGTAAACATCTCACACCAAACAAAACCACCATCATCTAGCACACTCAATCTTGAACTGCGCCACCAATTCTCTTGCATTCACAGTGGTGCTGTCCTCATCCATCATCATCATCACAGAATCATCAATATCACCCATCGCCATGGAAGGAATCTCCCACTGAGCATCAACAATTGTGGTGCTGCCATCAAATCCCTTCCCCCCGCCTGTGGGCGTGAGCTGAAACTGCAAAGACAGTTCCAAATCATACACCACATCATGCATTGAAGGCCTCTTTGCACCAACTTCATCCACACACATCTGCGCCACTTCCACAAATTTCCTCAACGAATTGGCCTCAATCGTCCCCACAAGAAAAGGGTCGATCAGTTTCTCCACCTCCCCCCTGCTCTTGCACAGAATCGCCCAGTCCGCCAGGTTTATCTCCTCGCTCGGGAGCGACTCCACGATCGGAGCTCTCCCGGAGAGAGCTTCGAGAAGCACGACGCCGAAGGAGTACACGTCGGATTTCTCCGTCAGCTGGCCCGTGTTGAAGTACTCCGGGTCCAGATATCCGTAGGTTCCTCGGATGGTGGTGTCCAATTCCTTGGCGTCCGGTACACCGGATTTCGATATCCCGAAATCGGCGACCTTAGCCATGGAGTTTTTGTCGAGTAAGATGTTGGTGGTTTTGATGTCACGATGAATGATGACGCCTGCGGTGGAACCCGTGTGTAAATAGTCGAGTCCTTTCGCTGCGTCGATGCAGATTTCGAGTCTTTGCTTCCATGACAATGGAGGATTATTACGGGCCTTTGAACCGTATAAGTACTCTCTCAAAGTTCCCCCCTCCATATATTCATAAACCAAGATCATCTCTTCGCCTTCATCACAATATCTGTTAGAGAAAAGAATACCCTTTTAGCCTTTAACTATTTGAAATATGTAGCAAAAGTAACAACTCATTATTTTGTTAGAAGATCATATATTTTTGCATTATTCTCTCTTAGTTCTTGATGGCCAATATAAGATAGGTATAAGAACTTTTAAGTACTTTCATAGGAATATCTGGTAAGAAAGAAGAGTGCACTCACAGAATCTTTTTTTTTTTAAATAATGAACCGACAATTTTCAATAATAATTAGTATAGAAATATATGAAAGGCTTATTTTCCGAAAAGTAGACTAATAAAAATGGATAAAACTTTGCTTATGGATAAGTAGACATCTTCCTACCTACCACCATTGCAAGACAATTATTTCAATCCTAATTAAATTTTTAGTCCGTTAATTTTTAAAAACAACCCTTCTGTCCTTGATATTATTTCGTTCTCAACTAATTTTTGTAGCTCTAATGTATGTATATATATACATTTTAATCTCGTGTTGTCCCTTTATTAAAAATAAAATAAAGGGTAAAGATATAATGGTGTTCCTTTTTTTAGAAGTTGAAGAACTAAAATAGACATTTTGAAGCAGTAGATTAACAAGTACCCGTATAACGAAACGAGATGTCGGTGTCGAATTTCAGACAGAATAATGACCTCAGTCTGAAACTCCTTCAAACCCTGTCCAAACCCAGGCCGGCTTCGTTTCACAGCCACCTCCTTGTCCCCAAGTCTGCCATAATAAACCTTCCCAAATCCCCCAACACCAATGGTTCTATCCTTGTCAAAACCATCAGTCGCCGCACTTATCTCCCCAAACGAGATCTTCAGCTCAAGGTTCAAATTAGGAGCAAGATCCTCAATGGACACAATCTTCTCCGAAGGATCATTCTGAGGAACAAGCAAAGGCCGAGACTTTTTGGACTTCCCAACTCTAAAATAGCACAAAACCAGCCCCATCACAACCCCCAAAATCACCACGCCCCCACCAACACAAACCCCAACAATCACCCCCTTGAGATGATTTCTTCCCTTCTCTTCCGCCGTCTCAACAATGGCACCCACAAACGATTTCTCCACCAGCTCCCTAATCTCAATCCCATTCAAGAACGCCCTTGACAATGGAGCATCATCATTTCTGGCCACGCCGGTGTTGAAGAACCCTGAATTGTCTGTAACAACTGCAAATTCCTGCCTAAATGGCTTTGCAAAAGCATTTATGTCAGTGTTTTCGCTGGAATCCATAAAAGTTCGGTTGCTGCCGAGGAAGTAATCGAAACGGAAAGTTGTGCCTCGTTGTTCGGTTATAATGTCGCAGAAGTGGAGCTGAACGAAGTACTTTGTGTTCTTCTTGACCTTGAAAACCCATGTCAGATTTGAGAGCCTTGAGCGTCCCGTGGCGTCCATTTTTAGCTCCTTCGCTGTACTGTACACATAAGTTGGGGCTGTGTAACCTGTTGTCACTTCTTTGTATACTATGTTTCCTCCGTAGCTAATGGTTTTTGCAGACGATGGAAAAGCCAGAAATTTATCATCTGGCAACCAAGTTCTCCATAGGGTGTCGTTATCTGGTGTGATCAAGGAACCTCCCACTGAAACCCTGTTATCAAGAATATTAAGAAATCTGTAATCCATTGCTTAAGCTTTTGTCAGGAGTGGTCGTGTGCTAGTGATTCATGTGTTTGCATAAATGAATCAAAAATTAAAATATTTGCTTTGTTGCTTATCAATATGAATTATATTAACTTTACCCCTGTGACAATTCAGTTGGTAAAAGCTTGAGATTTCTGGATCATTCTGACTTCTAAAACTAAGTTCTAACCTTTTAATAAACTTAATACCAAAAATTTTTGATGTCTCCCGACCTTTGCGTAGATGCTCCTAAGTGTAGAGAATTTGTTGGTTCACCCACTCAAAAGATTCAATTAATAGCTCACAATCACTTGCTTTTTAGTACAACAAGTGGGATGGAAGATTCGAACTCAACCTTTTGATTTGAAACAGGTGCCAATTACTAAGTTATGCTCATGTGGGCGACAATCATTGGTTAAGTTCGTGCTAAAAGAAAGTTTAAAACGTTGAATCAAAGATTAAATTTACCGTAATGAAAACGTTTAGAGTTGGAGTATGACTTAACACCTGTAAGAAGTATGAAATGCTTCGGAAAGCATGGAATACTGGCTGCCGTTGAATCTGACTTGTGCAGAAAGGGCGTAAGCCGACTGTGGTTTGAATTCGTCAGGGGCAAGAAAGAGTTCAATTGCATTCACAAAAGCCAGAGCAGATTGTAACGGAGAAAATTGGATGCCAAATGACCCATTTTGAAGCTCAAAAGCGAACTCCTCAACAATTGGTGTCTTAGCACCACTATTATGGACAGAGAAATTGGACAGCAATAGAAAACCAGAGCTTGCGGAGACATTAAACCGAGCTTGAGGGAGATTTTGATGTGGGAAGAAATGGAGACGCACCACGTAGGTGCCATTTTGATTGATGCCGTTGAAAACGTACCATGTTGGCTCATTGTAAACTCTTGCTGTGTGATAGATTTCCGGTATGGTTTTCGAGATGGTGTCGTCTTTAACCCGTTTGCTTTTTCCAGGGCTGATCAGCCACGGTCTGGGCTTCGCGTCGCCGATGAACCGTCGGTTGAGTCCAAAGTTGACGTCGGAGTCAGATCCACAGTTGAGAAAGTACTTGTCAGGAGGAGTGTAGGCTGAAGAGATGAGAAAAGGGGAAGAAAATTGAAGAAGTAGAAGAGGAAAGAGGTGGAGGAAAGACATTATTGCATAGGGGTGAGTTTCTTGCTTTTCCTGAAGGGATAGTGAAGAAGAAATAATATACCTTTTCGAAGCTGATTTATGACTTAATAAGTTAACTATGCTTAAGTTCGGTACGATAACGATTAAAGTTAGGATACAATAATTGATTGACGATTTTTAGGAGGCGTCAATGGAGAAAGACTTGATTTTTTCTAAGTTATTAATAAAAAAAGACTTGCTTTACTCGACTTGTCATTTGTGAGTGCACACAAAGAAAAGATACAAGTGGTGCGCACCAGGAGAGGATAGGTGTGAAAAGAGAGTGTCCAAAAAGCTGTTTGGTAGCAAAGAAAGATTCAAGAAAGCAGGCACTCTCTTTTTCAACTTTTGAAAAGATGTTTTTGAATCTCCATATATTTACACACAAACAAACCCACTTATTTTGGAACCCCTAATTAGGGGATCAATTAACTTACATATGGAAGTTAAGTTAACTAGAGCTTAAGAATAAGGTTGTGTTTATGAATTTGGAACTTAGATTCAATTTTATGGACTACATTCCTTTGAGATATGATCGTCTTGCGAAGCTTAGACTCATGATTAGGTCGACAAATGCTCAGAACCTACATAGAGAGAGAAAAAAAGTCATGATGCTCAAGTTATGAGTCTATGTGCGATCGATTCTCAGAGAGAGTAATATAATAGTATCACGTATCTGGAAAATGAAAGCGGATCTCTCTATTTATACGTTTTGGTCTACATATCTCACTTGCTCAATGATTACAACCATTCTGTAAATCGTAGTGTATTGTTGCCAGAAAAATGGTTAAAAGTAATGAGGTACAGTGCTTTGATCATTAGCTCGTCGTTTAAGAAGGTCGACCATTGAGATCTATATGCATCGCCCCACCAAGGAAGGTGGCCGGTCTGCCTATTAGTCTTCCCAAACTTTCAGAGTTCTCATGCCCACATGGTACTTCTGACCTATAATTTTGACCTCCAATAAAATCGATATTTTTAACTAATCGTTAGTAATATGAGTGTAAAATAGAAGAGAGTTTACTTGGAAAATTCCAACTCAGACGAAAAATAGCGTGACCAAGATCTAGCACGCCAAGTAATTGTCCACCGAGATCGTCACGAACCTTTATTGGTAGCCACCTCACCTCCGACCAGGCTGACATGCACACAATCTTCTAGATTTAAGATTAAACCATTCCATATCATATCAATATATACTTTTACTCCATGATCAAAATATGGTAAATTGCATTGGATAGCAAAAATCTTTTATATATTTCAAAATATGTCACCTGGTTTTTAAAATTTTCAAATATAGCACAAATTTTCACGTATCAGTAATATATCAGATACTCATATATATATATATATATATATATATATATATATATATATATATATATATATATATATATATATATCAATTAGTAATCAAATATATTACAAATATATATTATTTGAATAAAGTTGTAAGTTTAAAATTGAACCTCCGTTCTTTGGTTCAAAAAGTGTTATATTTGAAAAAATTTGTGAATGCTATTTTGCTAATTTTACTAAATGTTTTTACTATATTTGTGACCGCCTCTAAAAATACTGATGAACTACTCATATCAATATTACACTCGCCATATATAAATATGTATAGAAATATCAATGCTTAGGCGATACTTAGCGTTACTTAATCCCTACCGAGGAAAATGAAGAGATCAAAATTTATACGACAAAACAATTAGAGACTTGGAGCATAACGCACTAAGCCATCTAGATAAAGATATAGAATAATACTTACTTCCTAATCTATCAATATAAATCTAGTTACTAATCACCACTAAAAATATGATGTATTTATTTTTGAAGAAAGTAATTAAAGATCTCTTCCGTCTCATTTTGCATTCATCTCTACTACTTTTCGTACGTATAAAGGATGGGGAGCAAAAAAATATTATGGTCATTTAGGATGAAAATTTAAATCTTAAATTGTGACTAATTTTTTTACCTCACGTTATTAATAATGTAACCTTTTTTTTAACATATATCTCTAGTTTTTTTTAACTTTTTAAAAGATAAAAATATAAAACAATTATCCAATAGGTCTGATTTTCTATTACTTTCAAGTTTAGGGGCTATCAAAATTCCAGAATTGTTACTTTGATCATAAATGAGGGTGGGGAGGGAGAGACTTTCTTTAAACACACCATCCTTTTTTATTAATTTAATGAAATTATTGCTTTTTCTAAAAATATTTGTTTATTTAGCACGTTTATTATTTTAAATTAAAAACATATCAATTCAAAAGTTCATACTATCGAGGAGAAACTTTTGTTTACTTTCGCCAAAAAAAAAAAAAAAAGCACACACACACCAATTATAGCTTTATAAGTGGGGCATGGGATATTTTGCTCTTTTCTCCATTCTTCTTTCTATTAATTTATTATAATTGATTTCTAAAAATTACAGTTAGTTTATGCATTCATTTATGCTTTATTTGACATCCAAAGTTGAAAGAAAATAATCTTAAATTCTAAAATTTTAAAAGATACAAATGATTTAAAATTCTTAACTTTGTTTGGAATCAAATAAATTTTAATGAACTTAGTATGGATAAAAAATAAAATTTCTTTATTTTGGTACTTTTTAAGTAAATATTTACTGCTTACTCTTATAATTTATATATAGCACTTAAAGAAAAAGACCTCAAACCCTACCCTTTCCTTTTTTCCCCTTAATATTTTTATTTATGTACTAAAAAGAGAGAAAAAAAAAAGGTAAATCCAACTCCCTCTTTCTTCCCCTCCCTGCTTTTTCCCATCCATTTATTTATTTGATATAAAAAGTACCCGAAAGAAATATAAAAAAGAGGAGACCTAAATGAAGCACTCCAATAGAAATTGATGCAATATCATAATTACAAAAAAGGAGATTTGAAAGACCAAGTAGATATCGTGATTTTGATATCCTACCATAGGTTAGTAGAGGGTTTAGAAATGCCTGTCCATTTATCTTGTGAAGCTTCCCATTTTCTAGTCGCTTCCTTTTTGCTTCCAATCTAATATGATCTTTCTTCTTCCTACACATCATGCTTGTATGCATATAGCACAAAATGATGATTCTACTATAAAAAAAAAAATATTCCAACTGCCAATCAAAATTCAATGAAATGACATATATGACCGTTGCAATAGTAAAACGTCAATGCTCCCCTACTATAAAAGACAGAGTTTCTCATTTTTAAAGGTTGTACAGTCTCTTAGCTTTCACATAAGCTCGTCTTGACACCCAACTTGAACTCAATATTAACTTGAGCTTCGAAATGTACATGGTTGATCAGCATCGGTTTTATTTATGCAAATAATTCGACAGCTTGGCAACCAACCTCAAAATCTATGTGGGACTATTGCTGACATGCCAACTCATTCAGTGTAGTGCCAACTCATTCAGTGTAGTGCATCAACACAGTCTGAAAACATATCAACTTAATCAAAATAATTATAACAATTAACACAACTAGATTTATAAAACCATAACCACCTAAAATTGCACATCATACAAGATGTATCAATCAAATGAAATGAATATCTGCCAACTTAGCATAGCTTTTTGGTTATTAATAAAGCATATATGTGCATTTTAAATTGTGATATATATGAGAGAGAAACTACAAAATGTATTTAATCTGAACCCTAACTACAATGGGAATACAACTTATTTAACTAAGAAAAATACTTACGAGCAAAGTATTTACCTTTAACCGATGGTGGTGTTGCAGTCAAACGCCTTCTCGCTGACAACAGGTTTGAGCTGAAACTTCAAAGCACATTCCAAACCATACACCACGTCGTGCATTGAAGGTCTCTCCGCCCCAACTTCACTCACACAAATCTCTGAAACTTCCAAAAATTTCCTCAATGAGTTCGCTTCGATCGTCCCCATAAGAAACGGATCAATCAGCTTCTCAACCACTCCCTTGCTTCGACAGAGAATCGCCCAGTCGGCGAGATTTATCTCTTCGTCGCTCCGAACAGAATTGACGATCGGAGGTCTCCCAGAGAGAACTTCTAAAAGCACGACGCCGAAGGAGTACACGTCGGATTTTTCCGTCAGCTGGCCGGTGTTGAGGTACTCTGGATCTAGATATCCGTAAGTTCCTCTAATGGTGGTGTACAATTCTTTGGCGTCGGATTCTCCGAACTTCGATATCCCGAAATCGGCGACCTTCGCCGTGGCGTTTTTGTCGAGCAAGATGTTTGTGGTTTTAATATCCCGGTGGATGATGACGCCGGCGGCGGTACTAGTGTGCAAATAATCAAGCCCTTTTGCTGCGTCGATGCAGATTTGAAGCCTTTTTTGCCATGACAATGGAGGATGATGATCATAATCATGGCTCTTCCTCGAACCGTATAAGTAATCTCTCAAAGTTCCCCCCTCCATGTATTCGTAAACCAAGATCATCTCTTCATTTTCGTGGCAATACCTGTTAAAAGAATAGCCATAAAAGATTTGGGGTTAAAGATCCCACCTCGAGATAAATAACATAAAAAAGAAATGGGCTACACGACTCATATCTTCATATCTATCCCCACACCTGTACCGATTCTTGCTTGGTAGAAATTGCGTCAACGTGACTTCAACTCAAAACCTCAAGAATATTCTTTGAGATCCCATGTCACCCAAACAATCATTCAGAGACGAAACAAATTTAAATATTATACATTATGTATATCCTATAAAACGACACTCTAACCCATTAACTTATATTTTTAAGATCATTGAAACAAGGATGTCCTATCGACTTAAATTGTTGAGTTAAGGAAGAGTTTCAACATACCCATATAACGAAACAAGATGCCGATGTCGAATCTGAGACAATATAATGATCTCTGTGTGAAACTCCTTAAAACCCTGTCCAAATCCAGGCCGGCTTCGTTTCACAGCCACTTCCTTCTCCCCAAGTTTGGCATAATAAACCTTCCCAAATCCTCCAACTCCAATCGTTTTCTTCTCATCAAACCCATCAGTTGCCGCACTTATTTCCCCAAACGGGATCTTCAGTTTAAGGTTAAAATTGGGAGCAAGATCCACAATGGATACAGTTCCTTCCAATGGACGTTCATTTTGATCAGTAACAAACAAAGGACCTCTAAAGTAACACAAAATCAGCCCAATCAGTAGCCCCGTAATTACAGCCCCACCAACACAAACCCCAACAACCACAATTCCCAAGTTGTGATTTTTTTTCTGCTTCAGCTTCAAAACAGGAGCACCCACAAACGATTTCTCAATCAACTCCATAATCTCTACTCCATTCAAGAATGGTATTGACTGTGGAGCATCTCTACTACGGGCTATACTCATATTGAGATATCCTGAATCGTCTGAACCAATGACAAACTTTAACGTAAATAGCTCCCCAATTTGATGAATATGGCCTTTTTCGGTGGAACCTAACAAAGTGACCCGATTACTGCCGGATAAGAAATCGAAGTGTAAAACTTTGCCTCGTTCTTCGACTATAATTTCGCAGAAGTGGAGCACAACAAAGTATTTGCCGTTCTTCTTGACCTTGAAAGCCCATGTTAAATTTGAAAGCTTTGATCGTCCAGTGGTGTCCATTTTCAATGCCTTGGCGGTGTTGTACACATAAATTGGGGCTACGTAAATTGAAGTCGCCATATATTCTATTTTTCCGCTGTAGCTAATGTTTTTTGCCGCCGATGGAGAAGCCAGAAACTCATCATCTGGCAACCAAGTTCTCCAAACGGTGTCGTTATCTGGAGTGACCAAGGAACCACCCATCGAAACCCTGCTGTTAACAATTGTGTTTAGTTAACCATAATCTTTAAAATATTTCTTATAGAGGTATGAAAATTTCAAAGTAATTTGATTTATAAGCAAGAATCAGTAAAGCTTTACCTTTTTAATCCTAAATTGAAGGAACCTGCATGACTCGTCTTTTTGTATTAAGCTCACAAAAAATTTCGACACGACTTCACGGTATGTGATAACCAACAAAATTTCATGCCCTTTTTGTTAGAAACGTTGATAAGCCCTCACTAAAATTCACTCTAAAACTCACCAACTTTGAAGAGAATAAATTTGTTCTCTTACGAAACTCATCAACATACCAGAGAAGCCACAAAATAAAACACACAAGAGAAGACACAAAATAAATATGGATACATGTATACACACCATTCATGTATCTCAATACATAACTTAATGTACCTAACAATTCATGTATGTGTACGAGAACGAATCTAGCTTAAATTTTAATACCCTTGCTAATAGTTCTCATGTGTTTAACATTATATAGTGTATCGTATAAATTGTTAAAAATAAAGGAACTTTCGTACCCAAGTATCACACAATGATATGATATTATTGTCCGCTTTATGTATAGCCCTCATGACTTTATTTTTTATTTCACCAAAAGACGTTATACCAATTAAGATAATTGTTCTCTCTTATATATCATGTATCAATCTCTTCCCTAATTAATGTAGGATTTTGTTTGCACACTTTAGAAACTTAACAATACTTTCCTCAAACAAAGTGTCACTTGTACCTTGTCTTAAATAAGTCATGCATTCATCTACTCTCAACTGACAATGAGAGCCTGCTTCTATCCAGCACTTCTAGATATATCACTTGCTACACGGACCACCTTGTGGGAACACTAGGTGTCGTTCTATTGCACTTTCAATCTCCGCCCCTCGAACAAAGAAACATCATTCTTCCTATCAATCTACTTGACTGTGATTGGCTTCTTATCAATCTACCTTGACTTGATAGGGCATATCTTGCTCTTCACCCGAGCATAGAGCACCTTGCTTGTTAAGGATTTTACATTGAAAAGAGAGGGGACTTAACAATGTATTATAATAAACATGGGCTACTTCTATCATTGCTAATTGGTTTTGAGATGAATCTCATGAATATTAATATTGATCACTTTTTTTTTCGATTTTGAGATCCATCCACAAGTTCCGCAATAACTATTAGGCTTACCAATCACTCTTATTAGCTCTCCTCTACGAAGATTCCTCCCAAACTGCTAGGTTTTTTTTACCATGGCTTGGATACCACTTGTTAAGAAAATTACTTACCAAGAAACTTTTTCCCTTCTACAGTTCTGTAGTGAAAACTAAATCAACCACTCTAATAAGATATATAGAGAAAAGCAAATAAACGACACAAGCAATTTATACTTGTTCACTCAACTATGGGTTACGTCTAGTCTCCTGCGACAAAGGATTCTACTATGATTTTGGGGTAATACAATGCGCAATACAATAATCTCTTAAGATACTCTCTCTCTAGATGCCTCACTAAAGGCCTACTAGCTTCTATAAACTATGTGCAACAACACACTGATAAAATCTAAAACTTGAAACTGTAGTATTTATAACGTCGTTACAGCGTCATTGCGCTAAGGACGCAAAAATATCCGTGTGCAAGGAATCGCGACATCGCAGGGGCGCTGCCTCCTCGGCCCAGGTGGCCTCCGATGCCAAAGTCAGGAAGAATCCGAGTTGCCCTACAGAGAAAATGGATGAAACCGAGTTGATGAAACTTGAGGTTTGCAACCAACGTGTGCCATGTGTATTGTGAGAATTGCCTCCAACAGGGTTCAATCTCAAAACAAGTTGGCTATGAGAAGACTAAGCCCATGTCTATTATAAACATTTGTCAGATCTGTTATCTTATCAATGTGGAATCCTTAACGTGTCCCTCAAAGATGATACTCTTTTGGGTTCACCGATCTTAGGCCGAATCCCATTTTTGGATTAGGTGCTCGTTTGAGTTTTTTTGGCTCTGATACCATATAGATTTTGAACAAATTTTAATAGTCTACACACACTCCAAACTGAATGTTATACCGATTGTATTGATTCAGTTGATGCACAAGGAATATACATATACTAGCACACAGGTCATGCTAAAAAAGGCAAGAGATTTCTCAATGAAAAAATAACAAAAGTCTTCCTCTTGTTTTGGAATATGTTCCAACGGTAATCTCAATTATGAGCTGTGATTAAGACTTGTTTATGGAATATGCTTTAATTGATAATCTCAATTACGAGTTGTGATTGAGACCAAATATTTGGTTGAATATTTAGAATCTTAAAATGTAGAAGAAGGATGCGGCTAATCATATAGGTTGTTGTGTTTGTTGTTGCTGTTGAGCTATCTTCTTTTACACTAACATCTTCTTGGCGCCAACCAAGGCTCGGACAATCCTACATGGTTTTTTCTTCTAGACGTAAGAGATACATCCATGTACTCCTACTGGAACTAAGTGGTCCCTGATGCTTCCTTCCTTGATCGCACCCAACGACTCCAAAAAGAAAGCTTCTTCATTGATGGCTTGACCAACCTAACCAAGTATGTTGTCAAGCTAGAGTCCTCACCCTCGACTTCATCGCCAACTATAGTCTTTCTCTTTGATGCACTCTTTCGCCTACGTGACTTCATCACCTCTCTAATCTGTCTGACAGCAACTGGGGCTAAAATCTGACAGTTTGTTGAACAACTCACTAAGCTATTCTTCCTTTCCTTTCGTTTATTTCCCAACTATTGAACTCGAACTGATGGCAGATTCTCCTCATCTGTCCTAACTCTCAATGCTGATAGTTTTATCAAGTCTCCCTTTAAACTATCTGCAGCCCTGTGACCTGTCTCTCTAATTCCATTGCAACGCCAGACCTTGACACATACATTGAAGCTTATCTGTGGCCAACAATCACTCCTCGAATCCCCTCATGAGTTTCCACATATCCTCTCCAAACTCACTTCTATAGCCTTCATTATCCAGTTTCCCTGCTAATATCAAATTTATCCTAAAACTGGGTACGTAGCTAATGACAAAATACTACAGTTGTCATAACCTTCAACTGAAATTCTCAATCATTACTAGTTGAATGTATGCACTGTTAATCCTTAAATACTGTCAAAGGATCCTAATCTAGTATGTAGCCAATCCCCTAAATAGTGCACAATCAATTCAATGTGTGCATTGTCATGGAGGCATAAAGTCATGAGAATACTCCTTCAGACATAGTGATTTTAGCTACTGCAACTCCTAAAATCACTCACTGTCCTTAGTAAATCCGTAAGCATTTTTATGTTGCCTTTATGTTGGTCAATCTTGTGGGTACTGTTAGGTTTTATATCTTATATTCTCCCTCTCAAATTAGTTAAGTATATATTTTGTACATTTTTTGTCTTTCCCTATTTCTTTAGTTAGCAATAGCATATTTATAAATAAAGTCCGAAAAATACTCTTTCAGAAATAAGTGGACCTAACAATAGTTTATAATAGACATGAGCTACCCTCTCATTGCCAATTGGTTTTGAGATGGAACCCCATGAATATGAATACGTAAGATCATGCAAAACTAACTCGGTTGCATTGTCAGTCCTCAAACGAACATCACAATTCCTGTGCTCTTGGAGATTCTCCCATTTCTCATCCACACCACGCCATGACCTATAGTAAAGGATGTGAACCAACTCTTGTCTAAAGATACATGCATCAAAGCTGCAGTATCCACTACCCATTCTAATGACAGATCCACAAATGTCGTGTAACTCTCACCGCATGCTAACAACATGTCATAGTCTGACAAAATATTTGTCTGTATTTCCTTTTCTTGATCTTCTTTAAGCTTCCTGTAGTGTTTCTTCCAACGAAATTGACACAGTCGTTTTAATTTATGGCCTTCACTTCCCCTGAAAAAGTGATCTCCATCGACTCTAACTGATTCATCAGTTTATTCATCTCGTTTATGTGGGAGTTCACCAATGTGCCGTCCTCCATATGAATGTTGAAGTATTTGCCTGTCGTTCCTTTAGGTCCCCTCGAAGTAGTTGATGTGACTTTCCTCTTATAGCTCTGATACCACTTGTTAAGGACAACGATACCCTCGTACTTCAAGTATCTCTACAATGGTATAATATTGTCAGATTTGAGCTAACCCTCACGACTTTGCTTTCAATTTCACTTTAAAGGTCTCATACAAATGAAGATAATTGTCCTCTCTTATATATCATGGATAAATATGTTCCCTGGCCAATATGTGACTTTGTTTGGCCAACATAAATGTTAAACAAATTACACAAAATTAAAAGTTCATATATTTATTTAAACCTTTTCAATTTATAATTACTAAATAGAACTAAAACAATGCAACTTTTTAAAAGTTAACAAACTTGTAATCTAACAAAATTAGTACGGTTAACTCATTTGACCCTCGTGCTAATTGTTTCCTAACTTACCAGCGAAGAGTGTTAAAAGGATATAAGAATAATATATTAAATTTACCAAAAGCTTAAAGGCTTTTGTGATTTATCACCTATAAGTAGCACGAAATGCTCGGGAAGCCATCTCATTTTGGAAGCTATCGTTGATTCTTCCTTGTGTTAAAACGGCATCAGCAGATTCTGGTTTTGAAAATTCAGGAGCAAGAAAGAGTTCAATGGCGTTCACAAAAGCCAGAGACGATTCCAAAGGGGAAAAATGGATGCCAAAAGGGCCTCTTTCAATCTCGAAAATGAACTCCTCAACAGTTGGTGTCTTAAGATCAGTGTTATGACGCGAAAAATTTGATAACAGCTGAAATCCATTATTGGTGAACACATTAAACCGAGCTTGAGGGAGATTTTGATGTGGGAAAAAATGGAGGCGCACCACGTAGGTGCCATTTTGATTGATGCTGTTGAAAACGTACCATGTTAGCCTATTGTAAACTCTTGCTGTGTGATAGATTTCCGGTATGGTTGTTGAGATGGTGTCGTCTCTAATGAGTTTGCTCTTTCCGGGGCGGACCTCGATCGGCAAAGGGTCGGGCTTTAGATCGCTGATGAACCGCCGTTGGAGCCCAAAATTGGCGTCGGATTCCGATCCGCAGTTGAGGAAATACATGTTGAAAGTAGTGTAAGAAGCTGCAGAGATTATAGAAGGGAAGAAGAATTGAAGAGGTAAAAGAGGAAGGAGGTGGAGGAGGATAGGTATTATTGCCATTGATTTGTTGGGAATGAGAAATGAAAGGCTTGGCTGAGTTGCTTGCATATTTTAGGGGAGTATGGAAAAAAAAGAAAAGATGTAAATGAGTTTAAATCCTAAACCCTCCCTAGATAAGTTAATTATTATCCATATTCATGGGTCGATGAGTAGTTTACGTCTATTATAAATTTTTGTTAGATCATTTATTTTTTTATTATAGAATACTTAACATGTCCCTTAATATAGGATTCTTTTAACTCATCGATCTTGGTTGGATTTCATTTTTCGACAAGATGCTGGTTTCAAAGATCGATGTGTCCGATCTATATCTTGCAATTTTTGAACTCAACAAAACTAAATAACCTATTTTTCTAAAATGTTAAAACATTTATTCTAGTCTATCTAGCATTCCCTCATTTTCGGAGCCAAGATTAATTTGGGGACTAAAAAAAACTTATTGGCTCCAAAAATGAGGGGTAATAACTCATTTCTTCGCTAAAATACTAATAACTCATTTCTTCACGAAAATGAGGGAATAGCCACTTTATTTTAGGTAATAACTCATTTTCACAGCTTAAAATTCTATCGGTTCAAATATCATCCTTTAATTTTTAAATATATATATATAATCTTTCTGGATAATAACTCAATTCTTCACTAAAATACTATTTATGATCATAAATATATAGCCGATCATTTTCAATTATGAAAAAAAAAATCGGCTATTCCATTAATTCAACTGTCCAGAAACTAACCATTTGATAGTTCTTTGAAACAAAATAAATAAATAAAATAGAATGATAATTCTTTTTAAATGTATTTGGGTTATTCTTCCTTTTTTAGGTTCCAATAATTCATAGATCAACTTTCAAAGGTTATAAAGTAAAATTGATCTTTTGAAAATATATATAACAAAACATATCCATAACCAATTTAAACCACATTATGTGTAATGATTAAAGTTGGTGCAATAATTGAATGATATTTTTAAAATGGTAATAAAGACAGACTTGCTCTACTTTGATTCAACTTCAATTCACTTTAATTAGCTGATTTGTCATTTGTGAAAGATAAAGAGTAAAAGAGGAGGAAACACCCCAAAAGTTGATAGCAATGCCAAATGCTGCATGCCTTATCTAACTTTAAAAAAAGATGTTTGAATTCATACACTTACACAAAACACCACTTATTTTGGGACTTTTTTT